TTCGGCTTCGTTCCTGCCAAACACCTTAAAAGGTTTCCCAAACTTCGGTTCACCACCTCAGTCTGGCCATCCGTCTGGGGGTGGTAGGCGCTACTGAAATTCAACTGCGTTCCCAGTTTCCCCCACAGGCTCTTCCAGAAATGACTGATGAACTTAGTATCACGATCTAAAGTGATGGATCGAGGAACACCATGTAAACGCACAATCTCCTTGAAATAGAGATGGGCAATCCGGTCAGCATCCATAGTCTTTCTGCAGGCTACAAAATGAGCCATCTTGGAAAACCTGTCAACCACAACAAAGATAGAATCAGAGGCCCTTTGGGTGCGGGGTAAGCCTAGTACAAAATCCATGCTGACATCGAACCAAGGAGCTTCAGGAACAGGTAAGGGAGTGTACAATCCCACATTGGTGAGAACTCCCTTATACCGCTGGCACACATAACAACGGTCCACATAATGGGCCACATCACTAGTCAACTTGGGCCAATAAAATTCAGAAGAGATAAGGGCCAATGTCTTATCTCGGCCAAAGTGTCCCTCATTATGGAGTTCACTTATAATTTGCTGCCTCAATGAACAATCTGGAATGCACAATTGTAATCCACGAAACAGATACCCATTATACAAAACAAAATCATGACGGTGACCCTCAGTTACCTCCTGAAATATCCTTCCAAAGGAAGGATCAGCTGCATACATATCTGTGAACGTCTCAAATCCTGCAACTTTAGTACTCATGGTGGTGAGAAGTAAGGTACGACGGCTCAGGGCATCTGCGACGCGGTTCAAACTCCCTGCTTGGTGCCTCAGCGTAAAAGTGAATTCTTGCAAGTATGCTACCCACTTGGCATGACGTCTACTCAGCTTGTGTTGGCCATTGATGTACTTCAAGGCCTCATGATCGGTAAACATAATAAACTCCTTCTGTACTAGGTAGTGACGCCAATGCTTCAGGGACTGAACTATGGCATAGAACTCCAGATCATAAGTGGAATAATTTTTCTTCGATCCCGATAGCTTCTCACTGAAAAAAGCAACCGGACGACCTGCCTGACTCAGAACACCACCAATGCCAACGCCAGATGCATCACAATTTACCTCGAACACTTTGTCAAAATCTGGAAGTGCCAAAACTGGAGCCTCGGTCATCTTCTGCTTGACCAGTTGAAAATTGGCCTCTGCCTCCTCAGACCACTGTAAATCACGCCCCTTGAGGCACTCTGTGATAGGGGCGATCAGAGTACTGAAATTTCTAATGAATCGATGGTAAAAAGACGCCAAGCCATGGAAACTTCGGATGTCATGTAAGGTTCTTGGTCTGGGCCACTCCAAGACTGCATCTATCTTTGACTGATCTGCATGAACACCATCAGTAGACACAACAAAACCAAGGCCGCAAGACCTGATGCATAAATCTCATGAATGTACTGGGCGCATTGGATAACCCAAAAGGCATGACCATCCACTCATACAACCCTTGTGGCGTTTTAAACGCCGTCTTCCACTCATCTCCAGGCCTTATTCTGATTTGGTGGTAACCGCTCTTAAGGTCAATTTTTGAGATCTTAGAACCAGATAGCTGATCCAACATATCATCTAGACGGGGAATTGGAAACCGGTACTTCACTGTAATTCTGTTGATCGCTCGGCTGTCAACACACATACGCCAAGAACCATCTTTCTTTGGCACTAACAGAGCAGGGACTACACATGGGCTCATACTCTCTCGGATATAGCCCCTCTCCAACAACTCTTCCACCTATCGCTGCAACTCTTCGGCCTCCTTGGGACTGAGGCGATATGCTGGTCGATTTGGCAAACTTGACCCAGGAACAAGGTCAATTTGATGCTGAATATCCCTCATAGGTGGTAGTCCATGAGGAAGATCCTCTGGCATCAAGTTAGAGAATTCTGCTAGCAACCGCTGCACCTCTACTGGTAAATCTGTATCCACGTCTACTGCATTGTTCTCGCAAGGTAGCAAGGCATAGACCACGTCGCCATGCTCAATCTCATCTAAAAACCTGGACATAGAAAGCATATTAGTATTATGGGTTACTGGGGTAGGAGTAAGTCCTTCCCGCCGGGGTGCCAACACAATCTTTTTTCCCTTGATGCTAAGGGAATATGTATTCTTCCGTCCATCATGAATGACACTGCGATCATACTGCCAAGGTCGACCCAACAATATATGACACGTATCCATAGACACAACATCACACCAGGCATTATCAAAATATTTTCTACCAATTGAAAAAGACACGAGGCATCGCCTATCAATTGTTACCTCACTGTCTTTATTTAGCCATGACAACTTGTATGGCTTAGGATGACGGTCCGTCTTCAACTGCAATTTCTGGACAACCTCCTCGGACACTACATTCTCACAACTGCCGCTATCAATGATCATTTTGCAGACTTTATCTGCAACTGTGCAAGTCGTGTGGAAAATATTGGTTCTCAACCAATCGTCTCCTGAATCGCCCTTGGGGGTAAGTAGACTCTTGCGAACGACCAGAGTCTCATGACCATCTCCATACAGCACATCATCAGTCTCATCATCGTCATACACGGGTTCGCCAATCTCCTCAGTCTCGTCTTCCACGTTTTCCTCAATCAATAAATTTTTGCCCTTTTGACTAGCAGGCTTCCTGCAATCAGTCGCCCTATGCCCTTGTTCACCACAACGAAAACATCTAATAGTAGGGTTAGAATTACCCTGCGGTGGCTGCTGAGCAGGACGGGACTCTTGAGGGCGAACTGGTCGACTGTTGTGATCGCTCCTGATCACTGGTCTCCTGTTTTGCTGTTTTTCAACAGCAAGTGCACGTTGGTATGCTTCCGAAACACTCCACAATGAATGAAGGCTGAGGACATCTTGCAAGGGCTGGCGTAAACCCCCCAAATATCGCGCCACCATCTGCTCCTCCGTCTCAGATAAATCGTTCCGGGCGACCAATTGGTAAAACTCCTCCGTGTAATCATCGACTGATCGCGCGCCCTGCCTCAACGCATGAAGTCGCTGAAATAAGGTTTGCGTGTAGCCGAAGGGAAGGAAGTGGCCCTTCATCTTCTTTTTCATCTTCTCCCAATCAGTGATCTTGGCTTTGCCCTGTCTTTCTCGTGAACGTCGTAACTGTTCCCACCACGCAGATGCTCTGCCCTTGAGTTTGATGGCGATCAGTTTCACTTTCACACGATCGGGGACTTCCTTATATTCAAAAATACGCTCCACTTCATTAATCCAATCCACGAATCCCTCGGCCTGTAATGTACCAGAAAACTCAGGGAGATCGACCCGAAAACCGATGTCTCCATGACGCTCTTCCCGACCACGGTGCTCCCGGAATCCTGCACCCCGGAATCCTGCGCGATTGTGATATGGGTTTTCGAAAGTGGAATTGGTATCGTGATCAGAGGCCTCACGATCCTCTAAATCCTGCGCCGCCAGGCGCTGGGTTAATTCTGCGACTTGCCTCTGCAAATCCGCAATCATCACATCCTGAACGCTGCGATCACGACGTTGGGCTTCCTCATTCGGAACCTGCTCACGACGACCACGACCACGACCTCCAGCCATTGAAACTGGTGAAATTTCCCAAGAAGATGTTGAAGCTCTGACACCAACTGACGCCAGACAGAATAGTGATTATCCTGTAGGCTAGCTCCGACAGACGATTCACAAGAGAAAATTCGCCCAAAAACCAGAGAAAAAGTCTCTAGGGTTTAATAAAATATTATAAAATCAAAACTGTCAAAAAGCAGTCCACAAGCCGGACTGTTATAGCAAAAAAATCGTCTTTATTCGAATTTTGCCAAAAATAGCAAAATCCCGAAAATCACTCTAAATTGAAATTCGAAATAAAATAAGCAATCTCCCAAAAATCCGGCCTAAATCGGATTTAAATTGACTTCCTAATTAACAATCGAAATATTACCATAAATAGTAAAAAATAACTAAATCTAGTGATTCGGAGGGGAAAACGACAGAATTTGAGGTTGAAAAAAGGCCACATGGAGCGTAGCTCATGTGGAGAGCGTGCGCGTCGAAAAGAGCTTTCCGGATTGGGGTCTTATGCGCGATTCTGACACCTGTAGCCAAAGTTATGGCCAAAAGACTGAAACATACTCAAAACGACCCCAATGAGGAACATGTCACAATCAATTCCCGCCTTTGCGCTGATCTGCCAACTCATGGTATCTCAGCGCCATCAACGTGCAATCTGACAGCTCAGCATCATCTGTCTCGGATCCCCCTGCATCACCATTCCAACTTCCCAAATCTGCAAGGCCTCATGGAATAGCAACATAAGGACTGCCCCAACCCGTAAGGAGGCCTATGCCACTGAATTTGTGCAATAAGAGTAAAGCAAAAGACTCCAAATTGTTCAGAAATTTAAGAGCTTTTATTTTGGGCCACGTATGGCTAAGTAATCCTCAAGTATATACCTGAGCTGAACCACAAACTAAGCATAAGGGGTCATTTGCAAGGCTCATTCTATATCTTTCTTCGTTGGTGAGGAGGCGATTCTTCATGATCAGCCATAGAAAGAAACAAATTCGAGAAGAACTCGTGAATCTTCCGGATGAGACGTCATTTGTTACCATGTTGATCATATTTGACCTCAAATATGATCAATAGGATTAAGAGTAAGTGAAGTTTGTGTATGTTATTAATATCATTTATATTCGTCAAGTTTGACTCTATTCAAGCCAAGAGTTTCAAATTGGCCTTTGCTAAGACCGTTAAATTAACAAGCAAGTGACGCCGAAACCCAAATAAACACATTTCTAACAAGAGAAAATTAGATTGCCTTCCGATGATCAATGCAAATCCGGTTTGTTTTATGCAAAGCTAAGCATGAATGCAGTTCCCACCTCTTGCAAAATGCCCTATATGCCTACAAGGAAGTCAAATTTTGAGCTATGCAAAAATAATCACAGTAAAGAATACATAAAAAATACTTATTAAGAGTAAATTTTAGTCTACATAAACAATGATTTTTCTACATTTTGTCAATTTCAATTTTCAATCAATATGTAACAACAGTTGTTTCTTTCTCTTCTATAAGTATTTAAGATTGTACAATGACATGAACAGAAAACGAAAAACATACATTGCGTGGTGTGCCATGCTATTCATATGGACCTAGAAAACAAATTTACTGGCTGTTTTGCAGCCTAAAACATGCGGAAACTCTCAACTATTTGGAAATAGGAGGTTCACCCAACCACTTTGCACGATATCCTGTTCCTTTGCAGTCGGAGCAGCTCGTCGATCCCTAAAGTATACATAAAAGGAAATATCGTTTCAGTACCACTCATCAGTATAGAATAGGGAGGGTATGCAAATACAGAGATGCATATAGTTTTGAGATATACCTTTCCAGCGCAAATCACACAACTGGTGTTTCTAGAAGGAACTTGACAGAGCATGTTATCCCCAAGGATAAAGAAACCGGTACCTCCGCACCACTTGCATTCAATGTGCCCCATGGAGTTGCACGAAGAACAAGCAATTGGCCTTGGTTGCTGTAACAAGCATGAAGAAAAATGAAAATATCAGTGCCCAAAAATGGTAGGAAATTGCTTAGCCCCTCAACAGGTTCCCAAAAGAGACCCACATGAAAGAAATGCATTCACTTAAGCATGAACAACAATTCTTTTTCCCTTCTTCTCAAACACAACATCTAAGATGCATTTTAATAGTATGGATTATTATCTTAGAACCTCTTTCCTAGACTTAAGTTACTTAGTCTCGAGTGTGAGTGTATATATTAGCATACAAGTAACTAAACATGCACACAATTAGAGAAACATATACCGAATTCTCCATAACTTAAAAATCAGAGATCCATCACCCAATATCTTGCTCATCAAATATCACTTAAACCACAACATTTAAGAAATACACAAAAACGCAAACAAATTTAACACTTGTTTGGTTTCAGAAATGCGTTAGAATGCACGCAATTGGAGTCCTGTTTTAGATTCGGAATTCCAGGCCACGGATTATTTCGCTAAAATTAGATTCTACCTTAGAGATGACCCAAGCTTTTTCCATACGGTTAACGAAATCGGAAGAGCTCTCATGGGAATCAACAGCAGAAGCTCTGGTGTCTAGAATCCTCGAACCCTTGACCCTTGAAGTGGTACCTTGGGGTACAACCCCAGCACCAAACGACACTCTATTTGTTGACATAAAGCTCAAATCTTTCTTGTCAATTGATATGCGCATGATCACCGGCCTGCAACAACTCGCACAACTTTCCATTTCCCGTATTATTCACCTTGTTTTGGGGAATGTATTGGATTATTATAGGGGAAATAGAAATCCTGGGCTGGGGGAGGATTTTTCTTGTGGCGCCGAAAAACCGACCAAAGTTCACTCGTTTTCAAAGAGGGAAAAAGGGAAGATAAAACTGCGAGCAATAGCGGTTTGGTGACTATAACGATGGACGCGGGAAAGGCCCACGTCTTGTTTGGACAAAAAAATTATCAAAGGTTTGATATATGAATAGTCCCTGTATTTTATTTGGATTGCACAATTGCTCTTTATACTTTAATTACTAACTTAGAACGTTACACCTATATATACTATAGGCCCAAAGGAACCCTGCCATTCGGCCCATCTTGCATAGGCTATTTCCAGGGAGTATCTGATTGTTCCTTAACAACTTCACTGCTTAGTATTGTAGTTAACATCTATTAAGCTCTTGATTTTCAGTAATCAATAACTGTCCCCTAATGACTTGAGCATAGGAAAGGAGGAGTTACTAAATCAAACACTTGACCTAATCTAATAAGCTGTGTGTATCAAATCAAATGGTACTTAATTATTATCATGCTTACCTTTCTGTTAGTTACATTCAAATCAAAACCAAACCCCAAAAAAAGTATTAAGTGAAGCAATCATTGTTCTGTAGGTAAGATGGAACTCTTAAATTAGCTGACCCTATTCCCATATGTAATGGGGTAAGGGAAGGTAAGATAGTAGGCTATTCCCAACACCAGGTTGAGAGCAGCTTCCGTGGGAGACCTCCGGCAGTCAGAATTATGAATTCTCCACCGTGAGATTCGATCCTACGACTACAAGGTTAAGAGCCTTGTGCTCTACCAATTGAGTTGGACGGGCAATTCATTAAGATGGAACTCCTACATATTTTTAAATGTATGGCAAGCAAAGCAAAAGCGTGCTCCTGTTTGATTTCTGTGATCAACAACCATCCCACTGTTTTGAAAGCTCTATTTCTTCCAGCCTACTAACATATATATCATGATAATGTTATTGGTAATATATTTAGGGTTCTACCATTATATTATTATTATTATTATCATTTGAACCTAAAATATTGAATATATGCATACTCAAACTTGAATATTTAAGATGTCAATACTTAAATCTTGTTATTTCAATTAAGACCTGGTTTACATTTAGGGTTAGACTAAAGGAGGGCTGTGCACATCGATGGTACAGATAGTTATGTTACTTAATCAAGCCACCTGATAGCAACCACTTAACCTACCGTACCAATTTTAATAATGGAAACAAACCAAGTTTCATCCACTTTAAAACAAAAATCGTGCAGGATTCATTTAATCTTTAGATTGTCATCGTCAGCTTGATGGTTAATCAAAAAACCAGCTAAGGGTTCTTTCTTTCTTCGTAAACGAAATGAAGTTATACGAAAGCCTACTTTATGGTTTATATACCTTTTGTCTGCCTGTGAGGACGACGCTTACAGTTTACATTTTCTTACCTTAAACAACTCCTCGAAGAGATGTGGATAGCAAATCTCAACTTATTACGATTAAACCCTTTAAGTGTCAAAGAGTGGAATTTTTAATTAACAATTAAGAATATAATATTTGATTATTAGGACAGAGAATGGTGAGATCTATTAACCATATGTGCATTTATTAATGATAATCTAAAATAGGCGTCAACATTTTTAAATAATCTACTAGAAAAACTTAGGGGTTTTGGGTGTATATGCATTTTTTAGAAACAAATAAAAAGATTGTAAACTTTAACTTAGTTAAATATCTTAATTTAAAATATGTTTAAGAATTGTATTTAAAATTTTAAAAATAATGAGTTAGAATTTTAAATTTTATAATTAAATAAATAAATTGTACATCAAAACCCTAAATAAAATTGCATGGGGAGAGAGGGGAAGGCCATCAAAGTACGTCGCTAACAACCCAACCCAACCCAAAACACACACACACAGACATCCCATCAAACATTCTTTCTCTCCTCTATAAAACGATCCAACAAATTAACTTCACCAGCTTGTTTGATCTCAGCCCTGTATTTTTCTTTCTATCTATCTCTAAAGTTAAATATTATCGAGTGCTTGAAATGGAAAAGCACCTTAAATCCATAACTTCATCGTCAGTGCCTTCAACGCCAAAACCGACCACTTTCGTGGAGGCTGATGCAAACACCTTCAAAGACCTGGTCCAGAAACTCACCGGATCCACCAACGATACAGACAAGCTCCCCGTTAATATCCCTGGAAGGCTTTCCTCCAAAACCTCCTCTCATGGCGGTGACCACCCCACAGCACCGCGCCGTCCACCGTTTAAGCTCCAAGAACGTAGGAAATTACAACACTCCATGAAAAAGCTTGAGATCAAGCTCGGTCTCACCACTCTACGTAACTCGCCTAGTCACTGTGTCTTTGACTGCCAAACTCGCCGTCTTGACTCACCGGTGACTCCACTAGGATCAGAGTCACTCTTTTACTCGAGCTCTGGTACTGTATCACCATCGTCTCCGGTGGTTTCAGAAGAAGAAAAGGCGATTGCAGAGAAAGGTTTTTACTTGCACCCGTCAACGTTAAATACACCTAGAGGAAGCCGATCGCCGGAGCTCTTGACTCTTTTCCCACTTAGTTCACCTCGTGAGGAGAAGCGAGATTAAGTCTCTGTGTTCAAGTTGATGGAGTTTTCTTCCTGGGATTTTAATCATTTGTGGGTTAAAAGTGTTATTGGTGTTGCATCTTTGTTTAATTGTGGAGGTTTGTTGTTGCTTAATATCATGGATTCTTGGAAATTTGCAAACTTAACTACTTTTTCTCACCTACACCCATTGGGATCATCCGTGAAGATTAAAAAGAGAGTAGAAGAAAATGTATCATTATCTTATGCCCTCGTATTATATAAATTTATGTATGTATTATCTCGTATTATAAAAAAAATTATATACCGTAAATGTATATATGTTAATCAGAGAAGGGAATGATGCTTAGACGCGTTGCATTGGATTCTTGGCGTTGAACTTGATTAGACTAAAACCAAGTTTATGGTCTAAAATCAAATTTGTTGGGTTTCGTATTCTTCGTGCTTAGAATGATTGCATATCCTTGTTTTTCTACTTTTTAGTTTGACTTGAATTGCAAATGGGATTGCGTATACAAGTCATATGAATACAGTTATCATCAAATATGTATCCATTATTATATTTGTATGAATTTTCTTTCAAACGTAAGATTATTTAAATATAAATTGTTCAATGGTAATTATAGATATACTGGAATGATGGGACGAATTATACGTTGTGCTATGAAGAAAAAGATTGGAAAACCCGTCGAGAAAACAGTATTGGATGCAAAACATATCTAAGGTAAGGTGAGTATGTGTAAATTCAATTTTATTTATATTAATTGTTTATTTTTATTATAAACAGTAATTTTAAATTTTATTTATGTTTATTCTACACTAAAACATTTTAATAATTAATACATGTATATTCACCCTAAAATATATTTCTGGACCAGCCATCCGCAGAAAATGATTCATTGTTGCAAACTTTGAAGCTGTGGGGTCTCATGTTGTTCACATTGAGTGGAGGGTAAATTACGGGGCAATATCTTGACGCGTTAATGCGTATGTGTGGCTGTAGAACTATAACTAGTGGTTAGAGGTGGAATCATCCACTTATGAGCTGAAAAATACTGAACGCAGGGCCCATGGCATGCAACGTTGACGAGAAGCTCATGCAATTCTTCTGCGTGTCGTATGGGGATTACATGGCCGATGTGGAATTACTTTATTTTTATATCATTTGAGTAATTTTAAATTTATAAATGTAATAAAATATTTACTTTTATTTGTAAAGTTACTGCTTTAATAAGAATGATTTAAATAATAATCTTTATTTAATATATTGATAATAATTTTTTCCAAACAACTTTTAGATATTTTTATTTGTAAAAAATTTACGCATCTTTCGCTATGTTATCTTATTAAAAAAATTTCTAAAAGATTAGTAGGAAGGAAATTTAATTAGGTTGTACATCATCTATTATTTATTTTTCTCGTGACAATATGATATTTAATTTTAAAATTTTAATTATACAATCTCAAATTCATCTATAAATATTAAATTACATAATATACAATGAATAGGCTATCAAATTATCACTTGAATAAATTTACTTAACTCTTATATTGTCATTTTTTCTATAAATAATGCATGAAGGAATTTTTTAAACGATTGATTTAATTTTATTTAATATGTTATTTAGTCAGATAAGTTATGTACGCAATATTATATTCATGTAATTTTATTTAATATGTTCTTTAGTCAGATAAGTTATGTATGTAATATTATATTCATGTATTGTTATTAGATGAAAATCTAAAGAATGACATGTAAAATAATTTAATGGTTAATTAAATTATTTTAAATTATAATTATTTAAACTTTAATAATTATAACTCGAGATAATGCGTATAAAAAATAAACTAACAACGTATACATAATAATTAACTTTTAATTAAACTAAAATAATTATAAAATAATATATATTTAAATACTCACAATCATTTAATTATTAACACTCTATTACCTACTGCTAATAATATGAGTAAAAACTATCTAAATTTAAAATAATTATATCTCGAAATCAACCAAAATTAAAATAACAAGTAATATTTAATCCCATCTAAATTAATGTGATCGAACTTGAATCGTCCGTCTATCTATCCACATGTCTATATTAAATAAAAAAATTAGAGAAAGAAAGCGATCAACACAACCCCCACCAAAAAGAATTGAAATTGATTACTGGTTTCAAATTAGGCAGTCTGCCTATTAGATATCTGGGTATTCCTTTGGTTACAAGGAAAATTTCAGAAAAGGATTGTTATGCCCTTATTGACAACATTAAAGCTCGGTTGAATCATTGGTCTGGGAAGACTTTAAGTTATGCTGGAAGACTGGAGCTTGTTCGAACTGTTTTATTTAGTATTTCTAATTTTTGGTGTAGACAACTTTTCTTGCCGTACTCAGTCATTAAAAAGATTGATCAGTTATGTTCAAGATTCTTTTGGAAAGGGGCTAACAAGTCAGCTGCTGGTGCTAGAGTGAGCTGGCAAAAAGTCTGCCAACCTAAATAAGAGGGAGGTCTTGGCCTTAAAGACATGAAATCATGGAACAAAGCTTGCATGATGATTCTCATAAAGAAAATTTTGGCTAGGGAAGGTTCTTTGTGGGTGGCTTGGTTAAGGAATTACATGTTCATTGCTAATGAATTATGGACAGTTGCTGTTAAATCAAACATGAGCTGGAGCTTAAAACAGATTCTCAAATTAAGGACTGAAGCCTCCTCAATTTTTCCCTCTGATGCTACGAAAGTTGGTGATATCTGGAATGAGATTAGGGTGAAGAATCCTAAAGTTCAATGGCACTCTCTGCTTTGGTTCTCTCTTCTCATGCCTAAACATAGTCTTATTGTCTGGATGTCATTCCTTAACAGACTTACAACTAGAGAAAAGCTTCGCCGAATGAAGATTGTTAATGACAACCACTGCATTTTCTGTGCTGCTGAAATGGAAACTAGGAATCACTTATTCTTCGAGTTCCCAGTTCTTTCCTCTTTATGGTCTGAACTTTTCTCTCTCAATGGATTACGGTTTAGACATCATTCTTGGGATGCTCTCTATGGATGGGCTGCTGTGTTTTGGAAAGGTAAATCCCTTCTAACTTCTATTATGAAAGTTTCTTTGAATGCCTTAATCTACATCATATGGAAGGAAAGAAATAAGATACTATTTCAAGGTCATTCATCTACTGTTGAAGATATGCTCAATGCTATCAAGGAAATTTTTGGTATTCATTTAAGGGGTAGAACTATTAGTAGATTAGATTATGTTAATATTACTCTTTGTAACTAATTGGGTATAGTTTGATGGGTTGATTGCCGTTTTTGTTCTAGGGCGATTTTTGTATATTTAAACTCTATTGTTTTGTAGCATCTGCTCTTTGGTAATAAAATTAAATTATCAAAAAAAAAAAAAACGACGGAGAAGAGCAAAGGACTGATGGGTGCCGGCCGAAGATGGGCCATTGATTTCTCCGATAATTCCACCTCTCCTTCATCGAGAGACATTGCTGATCCTCCGTGCTTCACCCGTGCTTCTGTCGATCAGGTTCCCCTTTTCCCTTTTATCATCTTAAATAAATTAACTTTCAGTTTTGTTATTATGTTAGAGCTCCAGCTTCATCTTTGTATATTGACAGGATGATTCTTCTTTCAGTTACCAATTGGAAAGCTCAGGTACCCCCGGTAGTCTACTTAGTGACAGAGAACAGTAAGAAGATGCTTAGTTAACGATTTAAATTGATTTTCTTTTGGATCTTAATTTATTTAAGCTTCCAGCTTTGCATTGTTGAAACTTTGGATTACTTTCTAATAAAATTTAACTGCAAAACTTCGATTGCAATTCATTAGTAAGTAGATGAATGGATCTGTAGGCATTTATATCCATCAAAGGATTGACTTTCAGCATCTGAGATCATGGGGGATTTTTTATGACTTAGAATTTTCTGACACCCATTGCAATGAAAGGTGTATATATGCAACTGCTCCAACGTTTGCATCATTTGTCCCGTGCAAAAGTTTATTCTGCAAATAACATACTAAGGTCTGTGCTGTTGCATAGCAGGAACCACAATTTATTTTTTGATACATGAATCATCGATCTTGTTTCTTGACTATATCTACGACCCTAATCATTTCTAAGTTCAGTAAGTCGGTGTTTAATGCGAAGGTAAATGGGAAGACGAGATGTCTTCTATTGGTGCATAGTTCTTGTCTGGATGTTTCATATTGACATAGTTTTGGTTGCAATATTGAAGTTTTTAGTTGGTTTAGGTGTTCATTTAGGCAGGAATTCCATTTTGGCAGTTAGGTTCTCAGGATAAAAGCTTTAGACAAATTACAACAAAATCATAACTGATCAAAAGATGCTTTTAAAATTATATTTCTATTACTTTTGAGCAGAAAGCATGGGAAATCTCACAAGCACCGTTCAAGAATTTGCTAATGATGGGCTTCATGATGTGGATGGCTGGAAGTACAGTGCATCTGTTCAGCATTATCGCTTTTTCAGCACTTTGGCAGCCTATTAGCGCTCTTCAAGGGGTAGGGAAGGGTAAGTTGAGCTATGACTACTAATTTTCTCTTATGCTGTATTGTTAGCTTAGGGATGGCTTTTCTCCTTGTTCTCTGCTCTTATTAGTATTACTTGCTCTTCTTACCTTGCACTCATAGAAGTAGTGGAACAGTCATAAGAGGAAAGATTAAGATGGGTAAGTTATCCTAACCAGGAATGATATACTTAAACCTTTATAATCAGTTAACCATGAGGTTACTAATGAATGCTACTTAAGTATTCAGAAGAATCCTATCCAATTACTGTTATATCTTTCCTTTCTGTGTAGACATAATAGCTGATTTCCCTCCTGTAAAGCGTATAAGATACACAAGTTGAGCAATTTCAAGTGCCACCAGAGTATATTTCTTTTCATCAGAAGTTATGGTTGTGCAATTTCCCTTTGTAGGTTGATTTATCCATGTTTCATTTTGATTTTTTCAGTTTTTGAGCCTTATAAAGACAATAAAGTAGATCTTCTTGGGCCTTAGATGCTTTTCATTGCCCTTAATTTGGGTGATTTTGCACTTGGTGTTTGGAAGGTAAGTTGCGTTAACCTTTTTCACTGCCTGATGGAACCCCCCCCCCCCCCCCCCCCCCCGATTATTGCACATTAAGAAAGGAAGAAAAACCTGAGTTATCTGATATTTTGCATTTTCTTATTTGCTTTCTTTGGTTTTGGCAGCTTAACACATTGGGGCTTCTTCATACACATGCATCAGACTGGGTGTCATCCTTGTCCCCAGCACAGGCTTATTCCTTCTTTCTTTTCACTTCTTGTGAAGTTTATTTCAGTTCTTGCCCTTAGAATTCAGCATTTAAATTTTTAACTTAGAGGAAGGGGCAGGGTTATTGACATTATCATTACATCAAAAGTAACAGGCAAGGATGTTGGATTAGCCAATAAGACTGTGCTAAGTTCTAGTGACTGGACCCTTGAAAAGACCATCTAAACATCTCTAACCATATTGAGCTATTATGGTTTGATATTTCCTGGGATTATTTCGTTGTGGATTTCAGTCTAAGTGGGGAGAGTGTTGCCCACTATAATGGCTATTTAAAATCCTAGGAATGGTCTCAGTGGCAAAGGGTGGCATGTTTCACCTAGGTGACCCTGGTTTGAGCAGCACTGTCTGCAAAGTGTGTGTGAGTTTATTTAAGCTAAAACAAGACAGATACTACCATGAGACGGAATCAGAATGTTAAGAAAAAAATTCCATGTGAAAACAACCTCCAACCTTGTTCATACTTCTTGATGTTTATTTTGTCTATGGTGTTATATGGAACCTTCTACTAACTGGCTTTTACTAATTTTTATCAAATTTTCAGGAGGTTGAATATTCGGGTGGGGGTATTCCCCTTTAATGACATGCTTTTATGCGTCTGATTCTCGGATCGGTGAGGCGAAGTTACAAGGACAGGTTGAAAGAAGTCGATATTTTTCCTGATATCCTTTGGAGATGAAGAAGAGGAACACCACCGTAGATTAAGAGACATAGGTTGTATTAGTTGCTAGTGGATTATCGTCCAAAATCTTAATATATGCTCAAATATAAAAATATTTTTGTTCATATTACTTGTTTGGTTGCTGCAACCACATATCAAGAAGCCTACTCGCCTTACTTATGACATTTCAATTTTCCCCTTAATTAATTATAATCACAGGAGGGGGGGGGGAGGATGTTATCCTCTTAAATCTATTTGAATCCACAACAGAAGGCCAATCAGTATGAGAAAAGTTGGAGGATAAGTTGGTTGTAAAACACATGGATCTCTGATTTGTGTGGCTAAGATGAGTGTGAGAGAGATTCGAGCACTTCTCCTCACCATCCATTAAGAACAAAGTTGATTGGGCTACAACCAAAAAGGATGATACTTTTAAAGATGGTAAAAAAAAAATCAAAATCCATCTCTGTCTAAAGATTCTATGCTTAATGACGTGTCCGCTAATAATACTATGCATATGGCCATTGGACCACTGTAAGATAGCAACCATCGTTCTTACACAAAAGCCCAGACCCTACCCCTTCATGTCTTTTGCATACACTGACAATGATGTGCACAAACTCTCAACACCCATCAATTTCCCTTCTTGTCCACCAAAATATCATCATTCGTAATTTACATATGTATTGCAGAGACGATCCAAATCTATTCATAGTTAAAAATATATTATTATTATTATTAATTAATAGTTATTTTTTTAAAGAAAAAATAAACAATAGATGCAAGAGATTCATCTTATCAGTAAATTTTTTGAAAAGAAAATTATGAACATAGTTGGTAGGTAGACATATAATTAAATAGATTTTTTTAAGGAAAAATCACTGCTTTATATAAATATATAATAGAGAGTGGTTGTAAGATGAGAAAAAGATAAGAAAAAGAAACAAAGGCGTAGCATGGGCGCCTTCCTCTGCTGATAAACTCCTTGTTTATCTATGCCTAATTGCTTTCTCTTTGATGGAGGGCTCTGCCACCGTGGAGAGCCATCGGCCTCAATATCACCACACTCATGCCATCCATGTCGCCTCTCTTTTACTCTCCTCTGTTTGCAGCTCTGATGCTTCTGCACAAGGTTAATCATCTATCTCTCTATGTCTGTATATGTACATGTATATGCATGAAGTGCTTGCTGCTGATTTTTATGCATTAACAAGGATGATACTCTAGTATTGAAGCTTAATGACTTATGCATGTCCCTGAAGTTCAGCCTCGGACAAGAACTCTTTATCGGTTGTCCACAAGCATGGCCAGTGCTCTCAGCTCCATCGAGAGGAAGCAAATATTCCCACTCAAGCCGAAATCCTCCTCCAAGACGAAGCTCGGGTCAAGTACATTCACTCAAAGCTTGCCAAGAACCTAGGCCTCACCAATGTGAAGAAGACTGCTAATGTCAATCTTCCGGCCAAGGATGATAGCTTGGTGGGCAATTACATAGTCACAATTGGTCTCGGCACCCCAAAGAAGGATCTGTCTCTCATATTCGATACCGGAAGTGACATCACATGGACACAATGCAAGCCCTGCATGAGATCTTGCTATAAACAGAAGGATCCTAGTTTCTCTCCCTCCTTATCCACAACTTATTCCAATGTTTCCTGCGGCTCAACTACCTGCAATTCACTGATTTATGCAACAGATAATTTTCTTTGGCAGATTCAAGTCACATCGGATTTAGACTAATCGGATTTGTGTTAACATGTTAATTCATTATTTTTATATGTATGATTTCAGGTAACTCGTTTAATTGTTCATCATCAGCTTGTGTTTACGACATCCAATATGGGGACTCCTCAGTTGGATTCTTTGCTAAGGAAAAGCTCACCTTGACATCAAGGGATGTGTTCAATAACTTTCTATTCGGCTGCGGCCAAAACAACCAAGATCCTTTCGGTGGCGCCCCTGGTTTGCTAGGACTTGGCGGAGATAAACTATCTTTGCCTTCGCAAACAGCCGTAAAGTACAAGAAAATATTTTCCTACTGCCTGCCATCATCCCGAGCTCAACCGGTTTCCTTAGATTTGGCAACCATCACATCTCAAATTCTGTAAAATTCACAACATTATCAACAATCCGCCAAAGGGAATTGAAGACACTTAATTTCGTCCCCTTGATTAACATTATATAATATATTTTATTACATTGCATAATATATTAATTAACACTTTATTTTATTACATTTCCAGGTCCAAATACAAACAAAGAACAAGCCGAGCAGACAAACCACACGGCCCAATGTGACCCAAACAGAATCAGTCTAGCTAGGGTTTTGGAAACCTTAGCTCGCACGCTCAATCAGCGCCGCATGGCCATCAACACTCCAGCCGCCTCTCTCCACCAGCGTAGCAGTCTTTGCCGTGCACGCCTCTCCAACAGTCCCCGAAACGTCCGACAATCGAGACTCATGCTCATCACCAACAACCAAAGCATCAACCCAACATTAGACTTCTATTAGGATTTAAAGATGTAATCTAAAAACATATTTTTCTTCTGCTATAAATACGTGTAAATCAACACCATTGTAAGGGAGGGACACGATTTTGACAATAGAAATACAAGAAGTTTCATACACAAATATCACAAATCTACGTTACGAAAGCACAGAGAATATACAAGTTTACACGGAGATTACTAGCAAACGGAGATTATATACAAAAATACGAGGATCCAGAGTTTTTTCAAAGAAATATACAGGGGATATACGAAAAGCAGGGCACATTTCGGAGAGGAAAATACCAGAGAGAAAAGAGCCAAGATCTTACCTTTAAGGTATTTGTTTGTTCCACCTAAGTTAAAAAGAACCTTCAGCCATCGAAGGTAATATTCGAAAACTCCTCTGTTTTCGTTCTTTTAGGCTTAAGGGCCTGGTTAGAGGGTTGTAGTTCTTGGGTAAGAAGAGAGATGAGGGTTACTCGAAAGGTGTTTACCTTTTTTTCGCTGCCGGCATACAGTGGTCGGGGAGTGGGGACTTTAGTTTCGCTCGTTTGTTCTCTAAGTGAAAAAAAGGAAGAGTGGAGAAGGTGAGTTACAGAGGAGAGAACGGCGCAAAGAATGAGAGTTGGCATATTAGGAATTTAGGGTTATATTGAGCCGAATTAAAATTAAATAAGTTCAAAGTACTGTCGTTTTATGCTTGTTGGGTTAAGGGTTACATCATTTTCTATCTTTTGGGTTTATTTGGTAAGGAATCATTTCTGTTTGAAAATTAATCCATTTTGGTCCTTGTTTTGAGATTTCTACATCTTTTGGATTGGGCCCCTTTTTTTTATGCGTGTTCTTTCTTAGTCATCGATCACTTGTTTTACCCTATTTTGTTTATTTTTGTTTAAATGTTGGTCTTGTTTGATATCATGAACCAACGACATTTCCAATGTTTCTTTTTATAATATTTGCATAATGATCAATTATTGCTTATTTAACATATTCCATTTATAAGGATTTACGTACTACTTACATTTATAATACATGTATTCAGCATTAGTTATAAATTATGTAATATATTATATAAATGTACATTCTTTTCCTTTTTTTCATTTTTACTTTATAAATCTAATATTTTTAACTGCTTAAGGATTTTCGTTCAAATCAATCTAAGGTAAGCAATCAGGATCGTTATTTTACCTTTAAAATTAAACTTTACATTTTTCTTAATCAAAGACAACTGGAAATTACATAGTACCGAAAGGGCAGTTCAAGGGTGCTAACCCTTCCTTGACTGTAACTGACTCCCGAATCTGACACATCTTTGGTAAGACGCAGACCAGGTAAAAAATAGGGTATCCGATCAACCCATTTGTTTTAAAATAAATGATCGGTGGCGACTCCAATCCACATTTTCAAGTCAAAGCCCAATTCCAGGGCCCAACCGAAAGACGGTTATGACAGCTTGGCGACTCCGCTGAGGATTCTCAAGTGAGTCAGGCTAAGGTAATTTTCAGTTGTCTTTTTAACGAAAAGGGTAAGTTTAAATTTTAAGGTAACATTTCGATCCTTATTGCTTACTTTTGATTATTTTTTCGAGTAAATAGTTGTACTAATCGTTTTCTCAATGATTTCAGCCCTTAAAGTCTTTTTTCATCTAAGGCTCTAAACCCGAGCTCCGAACCCGTTTTAAGTGGGGGTGAAAGCGACGCATTCGTGTGAATTTATTCACCGCATATGCCTAGCAAGTAGCCTTCGGGATTCATATACCTTATGTCTTCGTGTGAATTTATTCTCCGCATAGACATAAGGGAATGTGTCCTCTCGAGTTTAACTTAGTCCACACAAGCCTGTGATGGGTTTAGGATTAAGGGTCTGGTAAGCCCAAGGGGGCACCGACAAGGAGAACTCGGGTACCATTTTTAGAACCTAAACCAGGAGATTATGAAGAACTAGAGCCCGCCTCGAAATCTCATTCCAAACCCTAGGCTGCTTTGATTTTTTTTCCTGCTTTACTTTCTGTTCAAAGCATGTGAACTAGAAATGTATGCGGTTAGGACTAGTTCAAAATTAACATGCGGGATATAGATCATTTCCGGGTATGAATAATAAGCATGTGGGGTAGGACTTTTCGTTTTCATTTTTTTTTATTATCCTTATCTCACTAACTTTTTTTTTCTCCTTTAATTTTCTGTTCTTTTACATTTTTTATCATTCACATCATTAAAACGAGGTATTGATACACCAAAAATATGTTTGTTAAACGTAAATAATCTACATTAATGGATAAAGGGGCTATAATACAAAGAGATAAAAAGCTCAGAAGTCCAACTAGGATCAAAGAATACTTAGAGACAAAGGTTGCAGGGGCAAAACGAGGAAATGGTTACTGACCCGGAGAGTCTTTTCGAAAATTACGAGAACAAGATGGTGAAACTCTAGCTAAGCTGGAGACCATTATTTATGAATTCCAAAAACAAGTCGACAAACTTCGGATGAAGGGCTCTAGTGGCACTTTCGTTTGGAACGAGCTCGGCATAGAGTGAAGGTCGGAGATGCAGTCATTCGAGACCTTTTTTTGGGGCAAGCAACTCGTCACCCGCACAAGTTTAGCCAAAGGAGCCGAAATGGTTCGACAGGATATTCAACCAGTGAAAAAGGGCGGAAGAAGAATAAACTTGTCAGAAGCTGTGCGGGACCTATTCCATCAAAAAGTTTTTTGTCTCGTCAGACGTAACACTTTTGTCCCCAATAAGGATTATTCATAATAACAAGCAAGTTTTTTGGATCAATGCCTCAGGCATTTCATGCATCATGCATTTAGGCATATTTTGCATTTTGTTATTTTCTTTGCATTCGCATTAACTAACGAAAACATGTCTCATCAAAAAGGAACACATACTGGATACACCACTTCAAGCATTGGACAAACTTCATCCGTATAAGACCCGCCTGAATAAGAAGAATATGGAAGCAAGAATCGAGAAAATCGATGAGAACATGACAAAATTGCAGAAAGAACTTGAAGATAAGATAAACCAGAGTAGTTTGAGTACTCTGAATACAATCATGAAGAACCAAGAATCTTTGGTTGATCAGATCGTTGCTAAGTTAGCTGGCCTACGACAAGCCAGTATACCAGGGGCAGGTTCATCTGAAAGAGTCAATATACCACCAACCCCGCAAGTGATTGTCTCACCTAATATCTTACCCGGATTACAAGTGGACTCATATGCTATCAGAGGGAAAGCCATATCTGGTACAAATATACTAGCTTCCGCAACCAACACTGACAATCATCCGGAAGACTATCATATTCCAGATTTTGACAAGGAGGATAAGGCAAAGAAGATGGAGGAGAAAATCAAGCAATTGGAAGACCAAATGAAGGTAGTTAAAGGAGACCATGACTACCCTGGAGTCGATGCCGCGGAGCTCAGTCTAGTCCCGGACTTGGTTCTTCCTCCAAAATTCAAGCCCCTAGAATTCGAGAAATTTAATGGGAACAGCGACCCATCCGCACACATCACCATGTTCTGCCGAAAGATGACGGGATATGGAAGAAACGACCAACTTCTGATTCACTGCTTCCAAGAGAGTCTCTCGGGCTCAGCCATACGGTGGTACAACCAGCTCAGCCGAACCCATATCAAGACTTGGAAAGACTTAGCCAAGTCATTTCTGGAACAATATAAGCATATTAACGAAATGAGACCAGATCGGGTTATGCTACAAGGCATGGAGAAGAAGCACAATGAGAGTTTCCGACAATACGCACAGCGTTGGAGGGATTTGTCTGTCCAAGTTCATCCACCCTTGGATGAAAAGGAAACTAAAAAGTTGTTTTTACAGACCCTGAAGACACCTTACTTCGGGCACCTGGTGGCAATTACATCAGGAACTTTCTCAGATTTAGTCATGGCTGGTGAGATGATCGAGCTAGCTATAAAACAAGGAAAATTGAGGGAGAGATCAACAATGTCAACACCTACAATGCCAACAAAGGTGTTACGATCTCAAGTCCAAAAATTGTTGCAGCTGTAACGTCTGGTACTTCTAAACAAACTGAGAGATAACCAAGGAAAGAAAAGATTTGTATCAGTCCAATCCCAGTGACATATGAGGAGTTATTCCCAACACTAGTTGAAAAGAATCTTGTGACTCCGGTTCAATCCAAACCTAGAGAGGCCCCATATCCTGAAGGCCATGATATTAACGCCGTATGCAGCTATCATATTGGGAGCTCAGGGCACACCACTGAGAATTGTGGGGCATTGAAACGTAAGGTCCAAGATCTGATCGATGCAGGGGCATTCACTTTCAATATGTAATGGGGTATTCTGATCGAGAGTCAAATGGGGCATCCATCAAGAATTTTGTTGCATTATCAAGCATATCATCTTGTTTGAACTTGTTTTTCTTTCGCACTTCTTATGCGTGAACATTTTTAAGTCACTTGACGTTTAAACATTTTAAATAAAATGCTTCCTTCTTAAGAAATGAGCAAATTTTAATCTTGAATTCCTTGAATATCACCTTAATTAAAAAACTGTTTAATAATTGAGGTTGTAAATCTTTGACAAATGACAAGATTGAACCCTGCAAAACAAAGACCCCTTGGTCCTAATTTAAAAGATACATCAAACTACATATTTTTCTCTTACCGAGCTAAGAGTCCATCCAAGGTTTGACATTCAGACACGTATTAAGAGCAAATAGAATGGGGCAACTAGCACATGAGATTGCAAAAACTAATTGGTTTATACCTTTGTTTATGATGTTCAGTGATGATAATGATCTTCACAGATAAAATAGTCGAGTAAGCAAATCTAGTTTAGGTCAGTTGTTTGGAAATTGAACTCTAAAGATGAGATCTCTTGACTTTAAAAAAACACCTAGACTATAACAGGTTCTTCTTGACGATCTTAAGAAATTAAATCCGTAAAGCTGAGCTATTCCACTAAGGCAATTGGTTATAGAGGAAACTCGAAAGCCCTGACTTTATGAATAGATTACATTCAAACCATGACAATGCTCGGACACTTGGCAATTCGGTATTTGCTCCACTGCTTTTGTTAGGCCAAAGACTTTGTGATGAGACGAACCCTTCAGTAATTTGTCCC